TCTCTCTCTCACACACATCAAATCATCAATCACTTTTTTCAAAACTCTCTCTCAAAATAATTTTTCAAAATATCTTTTGAAAAAAACCAAACCAAACAACTTTTTGTACTTTTTATCTCTAAAACACATCTCTCAAACACAAACCAAACATACCCATAATCTTTATTTTGTTTAACTAGTTTAGAGAATTCACAATGAGATAGTTAAAAAAGTGTGTTAAAATAAATATTATATGACAAAAAATGATAAAAGTAGGATCCAAAAACATGTGTTAAGGTGTATTAAGAATTTGTGAATTTTAGAGAGTGAGTAGTAGTGCGATGGATGTGTTAAGATATGTGTTAAGAAACATATATATATATATATATATAAATAATAAATAAAATAAATAATAATTGAAAAGTACAGTGGGACCCTACCCCACTGCACTGCCAGTGCCTCTCTCTCTTTCTCTTCTCTTTTTTCTCTCTCTCTCCCTCCTCTGCTTGTTAACTTGCTCACTGCAGTTAACACATAACTTAGCATCTGACACTAACTTTGACCACTAACAAGGTCTTTAGCAGTTCCATTGTGAAGACAAAAAAGTGAAAATAGCTGGCTAAAAATTAACATCTGACACTAACTTTCTCACTAACCTATCCACTGCAGATGCTCTTAGCTAGTGTGCATTCTAAGTATATTATTTATTTTAACTAATCAATCAAACTAATTTAATTATTTTTTTTAAAAAAAATACTATTGATGTACTGTCGCAGGCAACCAAATTTAAAACCTATACTCCTCAAAATATATGTAGTTGTCCAAGCAAAGATTGTTCCCACGAAGAGTGTTTATCCTAGTTTTTACACTACTTGAATAAGGATGGGTCTGAGTAAAACAAAAACAATTTTTAAGAAGAACAACTAAGTAACAATTCAAATTAAAGTATTGAAATCAATCAAAAGAACAAGACTTGGTCTAAGTCAACATTCACCATCGAAATTTTACAATTGATCATTGATGCAAAATTATATCAATTCATACTTTGAATATTCACCGTTGGATCTATTTTCCTATCTCTCCTTAGTTGTAGTTAATTAGAAAACAAGCGATTTAATTAACCTCAACTACTAAACAATCCAAGGCAAGCGCTAAAGATTTAATCTAATAGCAACCTTAAGAATTAGAGAGATCGACGAAGCAAAACAACACAAGCACAAGCAGTTGCATTTAATTTCATCAAGTGTTCTTCATAAGATATAATAATTTCTAACATAGCAAATCATTAAAGCTTAGTTGCTTCACAAATTAGAGGGATCAAACAATTACCGATTTGATATCTACCCTAACAATAGATTGCAACGAATAATAAACCAGTAGACCTTCTAGTAATTAAATGAGACAATCATGAGAATATGCACAGAATAACACCCCATACTCAAAGCATAAACTGAATAATAAAAAAAAACAAATTAGATCCCACGATTTTATTGATTCCGAGGCTTCCGTTTCCTTTGACAGATTACCAAGGTCTAGCCACGCAAGGCCATAATGAAAACTCAAAGAAGTTCGAGAAGAGGGGAGAGAGAGCCCTCTGATGATTCCCTCTCCCTTTTATACACCTTCATGCCCTCAGCATTAGAAGCCTACAAAATCTCTTAAAAAATATTCTAAATATTATCCGAAAATAATAATATCCAAGTCTGACTAATCAGAGAAGATATTAAAAATAAAATAAAGTCCTAATATAACTAGGAAAGTGGTGTTTACAGCTGGAACTTTCGTGCACCAGCTCTGAAAACTTCGGCAAATAAACCGGGGAATGTTCCGGAGCGTCAACAGTGCAGGTGCAGCAAATTCAAGCCCGATTTCGACCTTGATGCAGCCAGTATCTCTCAAAACTCGAAACATGAAAGTTGTAGAGCCTTTTCTTGGTGTTCCATAGCATCTTGGATCATCTCAATCGGATCTCGGATGAGAGAGTTATTCACAGATTACGAAGCAATGTCGAAACCACGTCGGATCCGCGTACTAGAATTGCATGCTAAGGACTGTTCCGTAATGTCAATAGTGCAGGTACAGCAACTTCAAGCCCGATTTCGACCTTGATGCAGCCAGTATCTCTCAAAACTCGAAACATGAAAGTTGTAGAGCCTTTTCTTGGTGTTCCATAGCATCTTGGATCATCTCAATCGGATCTCGGATGAGAGAGTTATTCACAGATTACGAAGCGATGGCGAAACTGTCCAAAACCGCCCAATTAGCTTTGTTTTGCATTTAACGCCTTCATTTGCATCCTAAATCAAAATATAAGAATAATGAGTACATTTAGGCACCAAATGAGTATAAAAGACTAAACATTAAGGGAGAAAAATATGACATTTTGCATTCTCATCAACTATAAACATAAATAAAAAAATATAATCTTTTGATAATATGTTGTTTATGCGCCTAGTGTTGACCGGGTATTTTACAAATATTTATTTTTTAATATATAATTAAATTATTTTTTTAATAATATTTTTACACGATCATATTTTTAAAAATAACAATGAGCTCGAACAAGCAAAAATGCAACAAATATTGAGAGAGCAAGCAGATATGGAGATCTCAAAATAGTGGAAAAAACATGTTTGCTTAGCAATGGAGGCTAGATAGATTTGGTAAACGAAAATGAAAATAGACAAAACGAAGAAAAAAACCAACTTTGCCATCAAAAATGCTTCATATGGTCCTTTTGCCTTCTCCCATGGAGATACTCTAAAAATGTCAAATATCACTAGTTGGCTTGCCAACTAAGAAATAACATGTTAGTTGGGATGCTTTAATGTGTAGGAATAAAAAGCCGTAAGAACATTTTCACAGAATAAAAAATTGATATTGATTTATTTAGTTTTTAAATGAATTGACATCAGGCTTATTTTGGAAAGATGTTAAAAAGTGACTTTTTGGCTTTTAACCAAGCTTCTGATTTTTTTAGACAAATGATTTGAAAAGTTGGTAAAAAGTGACTTTTGACTTTTTTGATTAATGTTTGTTTATGATGTCAAATCATAATAAAATGACCAAACTACCCTCATTTATTTAAAATATTTACAATTTTACCTATGTAATACATTTTGACCCATGAGGGTAAAATTGTAATTTCACCGTTGGCTAAAAACCAACTTCCCAAATGAAAAAAAAGACAAAAAAGCCAACTTTTAACTTTTGCTACAAACTAAAAAAAGTGATTAAAAGCCAACTTTCCAAAATAGTCCTAAATATGTGTCAAATTTGACATGAAAAATGCCATATAGCCTCTAGGTATTTGAAGCTTTAGAATTTCTCTAACCCAATGCCTTTTGCATGATCGCTTAAAAGAAGAGATTTTTTATTAAAAAAGAAAACTTCTTCTGTACAATTACTGAGTATTGTTATTCATTTTTTTCTCAAGAAGATATTTAGTGCTTGATTTCAATTTTTTTGCATTCAATTTTCTAAAATTTAAATCTTTTTAGTTTTATTTTTAGTGAATATTTTTAAAATTTTAAACAATTTTTTTTTTTACTTTTTTATATGCACCTTACTTAGATGTATCTAAATTTTGTGAAAAAATATTTAAAAAATCAATAAATACACAAAAATATAAAAAAAATGTACTAAATTTTTATATTTTTTTGTATTTATGATATTTAGTGAATTTTTTAAATATTTTTTTTTACATTTTTTTATTTTTGTTTTTAGTGAATATTTTTAAAATTTTAAGTAATTTTTTTTTTTTTACTTTTTTATATGCACCTTACTTAGATGTATCTAAATTTTGTGAAAAAATATTTAAAAAATCAATAAATACACAAAAATATAAAAAAAAATGTACTAAATTTTTATATTTTTTTTGTATTTATGATATTTAGTGAATTTTTTAAATATTTTTTTTACAAATATTACTATTTTTAAGTATATTTATGTTAGTATGATTAAAAATTTTAAAAAAACTCAATGAAAATTAAAAAAAAAAAAATACAGAATTTTTGCTAAACAGAGTGATTGGGACTTTGAATTTATCAATCACATTACTTATATTACAGTCAACTTTAGCTGGACTAGCATTATTGCCTATATTTCGAGGAAAAATCATCTGCTAAAGAATGACTTCGCCTGCATTACAATCATCAAATTGTCCCACGATTGAAGGTATAATTAACATCCAAATGGCATAGCAGCAAGAGGTAACTTAAAAATATAGGCACATTAACAAATTCCAAGGAGAGGTACATTCAGTTTTTCACATCATTGGCAAAGAACTCTATAGATGAACAATTTTTATAAATAAATAATTTAGGATTGGTGTAAGAGGTTTTAAATAAATGTAGTTTTTAATTTTTTAAAAAAGAACATATAGAAAAATAGAAAGGAGATATTAATTGATATGATCCAAATAAGTACACTTACACATACGCAAAAAATAAATAAATAAATAAAAACTTATATAATTTAATCCAAATAAGGTTTTAAAAAAAATATCTCCCAACCAGAAGAGATAAAGCATCAACCTTTTTTTTTTTTTTTGCTTTATCTCTTCTGGTTGGGAGACGTTTTTTTAAAACCTTATTTGGATTAAATTATATAAGTTTTTTTTTTTTTTGTTATAGGAAAATCTTCCTTACCCTCCCCAGGTCCAAGGTTGCACCCTTTGCAGAGATCACCGAGGTGTCCTGTTAGCTATTCAGAACTCGTACAGCAGAAGAGCACTGGAAATTTGCCCTGACCTCCCAAGACAAGTTTCACTTAAGTCAAAACTCGTACAGCGGGGAATATTGAACCTACATCAAGTGCTGATTAGATAACTTGAAATCCAACCTCCTAACCAACTGTGCTTCGCCTAAAAGATTAGTCTAAGAAAGAGAGAATTGAACTTGTGACCTTGAAATTTAAATCCCAAACCTTAACCACAATACCATCCACCTGGTTAATAAAGCATCAACTTGATTCCCTTGAAACATAAAAAGGGCCAACTGTACAAATCACTTGATGAACTCAGTACAACTCGTGTCAATTCAATGGCCAAGAGATAAAGCAACAACTTGATTCCCATGAAACATAAAAATGCCAACTGTACAAATACTTGATGAACCTAGTACAACTCGTGTCAATTCAATGGCGAATAAAAAAGAAAAAACTGAGGGAAAAAAAAAGGAAAAGAATTCAGCATAATTGTCAACCATCATATCCACAATACAAAACCAACATGCTCATCAAAATCTCTCCTGTTTATTAGTCAGCTCTACCACTTGTTAACCCAATACCTGCATAAGTAGCAGTACCCTTCTTTATAGCATTAAATGCACATCAATTTTCGCATATGTATGTTTGATCACTCGCCCTGATTGCAAAGTCACGATCTCAAGATCTCATGCAAAGCATTTCAAGATTACCATCCCAAGTCAATTATAATAGAATCATGTATCATTTTCCCAAGATTAGATGTTGAATCCAATCATGGAAAGCCATCTTCGGTGGACTTCAAATCACTGCTGCTGCAGGACCTCTCTCTTTCTGGGGAAAAATAATTCTTGGTAAGGTCTGCAATTACAGGAAACTTGCCAAAAGGAACAACCTGAAAGAGCAATCGAGTGATGGGGAGATGTCAAACACTGTATAATAGCATAATCATGAAAATAATTGAAGGACAGGCATTAGTAAATTCTAGCAATACCTGATCATTGCTTGGAGCAGCAACAACCGAAGCTTTTATCCTCTTTGCGTTGCATGGATGGTTTGCCTTCTCTTCTTCGATATCATCATCAATGAAGTTTTGATCCGTGACCTCTGCAATGAACAAAAATAGTCTGAACAATTCAAAACAAATAATGGCATGCACAACTTGTCCACAAAACGACAGATGCAGCAGTACCAATTTGCAAAACAATCACAGAAGCTTCCCTTCCACCTCGTAATGGTGAAATGAAATTATGCATATGCAAATCCCTACATTTGGCACAAACTATAGCATTCGAACACCAAGGTTGCGTTTAATGGTTAAACGAAATTATGCATATGCAAAAGCCTACATTTGGCACAAACCATAGCATTCGAACACTAAGGTTGCGTTTGGATCATGAATTTGAGTAAACATTCATGGAGGGAAAAGAAAAAAGAAGGGGAAGAAAAGCCATAATACTCATAATCAGAGTTTTAAAAGGCTTTCTTGAGGCCCACTTCGATGCTCGCCTCACCTTGAAGTTAAGGTAAAACGCATCAAGACATTGATTTTTAAGCATTACACCACAGAGGCTTGCGCATCATAGTTTGAGACATGCGTCTTAGGTGCGCTTTGTACGCTTTTTGCGTATAAACATGTGAGGAGTATGCACACGCAGAGGTTGCCTTGGGCTTTTGTTAAACTTAGTCTATTGGATTGTTTAAATATAGAAAAATAAAAAGAATCCATTTTTGCAACTATATTTTATAAGAAAAATTTAGAAAATGATCAATCAAGAAAAAACACAGTTTAATGGTCAAGTGAGAAGCTCAATCACTGAAATTAAGAATATCAATTTCACTTTCAGTTAAGGAAAACTTCCTTCTATGCAGTAAAATGTTCAACGCATTAAAGCGAAAAGTATTTACACTTTTACATTTAATTTTGTTTTTATTTTTTTACTAATTTAAAATATTTAATTTATTCACTAAATATTAAAATTTGAAATACTTACACCTGAACGCCCTGAGGCTTACGTCTCACCTCATGAGGGGTAAAACGCGTCGAGATACGCATTCGCCTTTAAAAACTTTGCTCATAATTACCATTTAGTGAACAGGTATTTCAACTAAAAGATATAAATTTTGTTCACAATCCCTCTTTTTATTTAAAATTGGGTTAAATTTTCCCCATATATTATCAGCTAATAATATCTTCATTCATGTGAAGTGCTTAGACCTAAATCAGCAGCATGTACATTTGACTCAAAAATAAAATACCAGAAAAATATATGAAATGGCATGAGCATGCAAGTGCGAAAACAAATCATGGAAGTTATGAAAATAACTATTCCATGAAATACAATGACCGCTACCTGTATTGCTGTCAGCTGAATCATCGTCACACAAATGAGCGTGCCGTGCAGGAAACTGCTCTAAATTAGCAGCCAAAGCAGTGGAGGTCAATGCCATTTTCCCATTTACATGTACTGCTGGATTTCCAATTGCAGATTTTTCTTGAAGAGCAGAAGATGTTACAATTTGGTGTCTGAATGAAGGCCTGAAATGCCGAATCCATGGATTTGCTAAAAGAACACCAGACCCATCTGCCTTGTCCAATTGGGATTCATGCCTTTCAAAATCGATCTTTCCCCAACAGCCACCTCGAAGAACCTTAAACTGCAAAAAGAATGTAACATAAAGTTATAAAAGCTAGGAAAGGGTCATCAGAAAAGAAATAGAAAACCCATAAACCAGGGTGGCTAAGCATCAAACCTGGCCAGAAGAGGAACGAGTGCTGGCATGCTTTTGGCCCGATAATTTAGAATCTGATGAGTGCTGTCTTTGTGAACGCCAACCAAGTAAATCAAAAGAATTATACAAATCATTAACAAAGGATGCTTCCATGGACTTCAGGTACAAACTGTGCTTCTCATTTGTCCATTCAGTTGACATTGATTCGCTGGCCGGAGACTCCTGAAATGAAGAAGTAATTGGTAATGAGAACCAAAACCCTCAAGGGAAAAAAGATCATTTCAATTTGTACAACTCTTCTATGTCATGAAATGAGCTGCACAAAAATTAGATGTGGGATTTTAATCAATGCTCTCAAACGATTTTTAAAACTCGATGCAATTCATGACCTTCAAGCTGCTCAGGTATATCATTTGCATTTTTTTTTTTTTTTGTAAATGCAAATACAGTAAATATTGCAAAATCAAACCCTCCACCATCCCCAAAGCGATTATTCTGCTGAGGCCAGTTCCGCGATCGGAACAAACATAGAGCACTTACTTAATCATTCAACATGAGAAATACAAAATAACAAAAAAGATCTATTTTCGGAGTCAACAAAAGTCGAATATTGAACCATAAAAATTTCAACTTCTCAACCCTCCTCACAACAACAAGAAGAAGAACAAAAACCGCCTTAACTTCCATTAAACCCCAAACAGATCATCAACAAACACCATAGAAGAAGAATTTACACATATAGAAAAGACGACACGACGACGACGATGATGATGAAGACGAAAATCAATTACTTACTACCTGACTTGAACTCTGTTGAAGTTCAACAGAGTCGACGGTCATCTCTGAAGTCGGTAAGGTCACCCTCGGCGGCGGCGGAGTAGTAGTAGTTCCGTCTTCCATGGCAGCGGTTGGTGATGGTGGCGGTGGCGGTGGTGAAAGTTGAAATCGTTAGTTTAGATTCAGAATTCGATTTTTGGTAAATTCAATCAGCAGCAGAGATATATATAAAAAGAGAGAGAGAGAGAGAGAGAGAGAGAGAGAGAATCAATCTGAGTCGTTTGATTGACTGTTTGGGGTTGAGTTTGGGTTCTCTGGTTGGTAGAGGGAGAGAGAAGAAGAGCGATTCGAAGTAAAAAAAAGAAAAAGGAAATTTAAACTTAAAAAAAGAGATGAGACAGTTGTCGCGCTTTTACACGTGTCGTTGGGCCATTCCTTGATTATTGTTGAGGCAGATATTTTTGTGAGAACGTACCAAAATATCATCAAAACATCAGATACTTCGGAATTACCAAAAGCAAAAATATCTTCCGGTCGGCCTTCCTTGCTAAGCTTTCAAATACCTAAAATATCCTATATATATATATATATATTTAATTTCTTTTAAAAAATATCACTCATAAATTTATTTTTAAGAGTTATTTGGAATGACCTAAATAAGAGGTCACCTTCTAAATTAAAGCATCTTGTCACATTATTCATGAATCAACCAATAATTTCTCGATATGAGCATACAATGCATTACTCCATTTCTCGTGATTGATAAGATCTTCAAATGACAAGTTGTGACGTGGCTACAGTTGGATGTGGCATATGAATCCAACAGTACTTTAATGTTACTCTTACAGTGGGACCCACCCCACTGAAGAAACATGACGTGGCGGTGACTGAGTAGTCGTGAGTCGAAGCTGACGAGGATGGTATATGATTGGTTGTGTTTGGGAATACGTGTACATGACATGACCACGGCGAAACGGTGGTGATTTGGAAGGAAAGTCAAGGTTAGAAAAAGCGCGGAAGGTTCGGAGGAAGGAAATCGAAAACCGCGTTTCGATTTTCTACGGATGATTTACTGAGTTAGTTAAAAATTAATTTTTTAATTTTTTATCTTTTTATATATAAAAAATATTGTGATTCAAAATAAATTAAAAAATAAAAAATAACTATTTACTAGCTTTCTAAATTTTCCCTCAATGAAAAAAACTAATCAGGGCTAAAATTGGGTAAAACTGTATTCGACCTTTTCGGATCAACACAGACACATATATCCGAACACATGTTATGCACTTTACATAAGAAAAACATCACATCAAACAGTATGAGATATCTTTTGAAAAAAAAAAAATTACCTAATATTTTGATCCAAAGTGCAATTGCACTTTACAAAAAAAAATCAGAACTTTAGGAGATGAGTGAAGAAACGAATCCCAAAACTTGAAAAGGTCAAACTATAACTGATTTTTTTAATAGAGGATTGATTGATTTACCGTGGATCTTATTGCAGTTTTTTTTGTTTTTGTTTTTGTTTTTGTTTTTGTTTTTTTTTTATAATTAGGTTTCTTTTGACAAGTTTTAGTTTTAGTTAAAAAATTAAAAAGTTAATATAAGTTTTCAAATTATTTTTTTTAATATTTTTTTACACACACACACATATATATTTATAAAGAATTAAAATAGTACTAAAATAATTTATTCCTAAACGAGACTTTATTATTTTATTTTTATATGTGAATCATTTATGAAAATATTAGTTTGATTCAGTAATTGTAATCACATAATTTTATTAAATTTGTGTTTTTCAGAGGTGAGTGATTTAGATTATTAAAATAAGGCCATGATAAAATTTACAAGTCCAATTGAAAATAACCAGACTTCTCTCAAATATGAGACAAACCAATTTCTTTGAACTGGAGCATTTTGATGAGAAAGAGAGAAAACTTGATGATAATAATACTATCAGCAATATTACATGCCCAGTAAAATTATTTACAAAAATATTCAAAAAAATAAATATTAACTTTAAGTTTACACCATATACCTTAATTCAGGTTAAATTTCACAATAAAACTTCACGGTACATTATATGAAAAATATTTGAAATACCTAATTTATTATATACCTTTAAAAATCACCACTAAGTGGTGTTTTGGGAAGATGTAACAAAGTTGATTTTTTGGATTTTTTTTTTTTTGAAACGTTCAAACATAGTGGACATTTATGTATTAAATAGGGGTCCAAATCATTTTTCTATTAAATAATTGTTTTTCCCAGAAATTTTGTTTCCCAAATTTTCCAAATTTTTAGCTTCCCAAATAATACTCAGTTGGGTTGAAACACCATAGGAAATCACAGAAACACCAAAGAAGCCTAATTCCTATAGTCATAGATGACTGCAACACCATTTTTCCCGCAACTGCAACACCTTATATTTTGAGAAAAGTTTTGGCGACTAAATAATTGGTCGTCAAATTTTACACTTTTGCGACTAAAATCATTGGTTGGCAATTCCTTATCTTTTGGCGACTAAATTATTAGTTAGCTATTCTTCAACTTTTGGCGACGAAAATAGTTGGCTGCCGATTTTTTGCTTTTGGCGACAAACATATTTGGTCGGGAAAATATCACTTTTCGTGACCAAAGTGTTTTAGCGACTAAATGAATTAGTCGCGGTAATGATATATTTAGCGACCAAAAATTTAGTCGGCAAATCTAACTTTTTCCTGACTAACAAAAGTTTTGGTCGCCAATTACCTTTGCCGACCCTCAATTGGTGACCAAAGTGGCGACCAAAAAAATTGGTTGCGAATAA